TGCAGAACCACATACAGTCGTCATCCTTGCACTTGATAGTCAATGTCAGTGCGGCTGCGTGCGGCGCGGTCGCCCGCACCCGTACTGCACCAATCGTTGAACCAGGAAGTGACATTACTGTATTATATCCTTCGTGTTACTCGTTTTCTATCACTTTTTGTCGCATACGCGTTTCAACGAAAAGGCTGAGAAGGCTTCAAACAGTGTGCACGCTCCTTCTCGCCGACACGCCCCTATCAAGTGCAAGGATGACGACTGTATTTTACTGTGTGGATATGTTGCGACCGTCCAATGAGTTCATCTAGAAAACGACGAGTGACTCCCAAAACGGATTACTGATCCGGCTAGTAGAAGACATTCCGAAGGACCCATTTAAATGAAACAGAATAAACAGGCGCACACAAACTGCTGCTCTTTTTTGAAAGTTGTGGTTTTAAGTTCATTCTTTCCCAACGTACCCTTTTGTAATACCACGCTTTCAGGAAAACTTCAAAGTGGTGAGGTGAACTGCACCGACGTTCTACGGGCCTATCAACGCGCTGCACTTGCTTCAACTGAGCGAACCAACTGCGTCTGCCTTTTTGTCGAGGTAGGTACGCAGAGAGTCTTCACCGGTTTCCATCTAGTACTCACTACTTTGGGGCGAATATTATCCAGAATTGAAACGCTTGTCACCTTTGGAACATTCGCACATAGGGACCAGTGGAAAGCAAATACAGGAGCTGCATTCCGGTTCCCACATAAGTCAGAGAAGAAGGCTTCACCTGGAGAAAACTAAATACTCAGGGTATCGCTGAGCACTCAGCGATTACTCGATTATCTACTCTTTTCAATCTCGTAACGCTAACTTTTCTGATTTATCCAGAAACTAGAGGGGGGGGTCTCCACTGGGAGATGGTGCAGCTGCCATAGCTCGTTCCCTCGGATGCACACAGAAATTGCGCCCAGGCCATCCAAGCTTATTCGTCTTACGCTATAGTTTGACTCGGAGCAGTCTTACATGAGCCAA